GGGGGGGGTCTAAAAGGCGTAACAAACTGTCACGTTTAAAGGAGAGGGGGAGGCGGGGGTTGTGCCCGACACCTGTGCATCAGCGTACTCTTACACATATAATATAAATTGTTTTCAATAATTCTTGTTCGCCCGGATGTCTTAATGTGCTGGGGGTCTTAATGTGGGAGGAAACCAGATTACCCGGAGACCTTTTCACGTCCGATCGGGGAATCGAACTCCGGTCGCCTTCGTGAAAGGCGAATGCGATATCCACTGCGCAACCCGAAAACCGTCATTCTTAACACAACTAACTAATCACGAGAATATACATTGATTTCACACGAGGTGGTGTAATAATCTCTGTCACAAATTTTCTGAAATGCAATAATAATGACAACAACTCGAAGTAAAGGTAATTTCCGATTGGGAGACGGAAGAGCACCTTATGATTAATTTTGGCTGAAATGGATTGCCCAAAAACTCATATCATTTGCTACTTTACATGCTATACAGGTGCGATTCCAGGATTGGGACTTGTTAACGTTCCAGGAGCAAAAGTCGACGTAATCTATGGGAAACGACCCTGTGTGGGAAAGGATGGGGGTATATGGACGAAGCCCCTATATTGTTAAAATAGGAAATACAGCTTTTTCTGCAATATAAGTGGTTGGTTAGGTGAGAGCTGACTCCATGGACTACTCTCTCCTTGAATTCGCCAAGTATTGCGGAAAAGCAGTTACTTCTAAACGTCATTGACACATACAGAACAAGCAGATTTGCACAGCACAAATGATTTTGTCGAAACTGTACCCATGGGGATATATATATCCTTCAGTGGTGTTTACTGGCATTTCCGAAATAGCGTTGACTGCGCGTGCTTTTATCCGTGGCGACGTGGTTTGTAATAAATAATTCATACGCTAAACAGATATATCATGACCGGCGGGCGGACGCACACCTGGAATAAATTAATTGATTATAGATTACATGTGTCGTAATGAGATTGTGCATTACCGGTCGCAGGTAATGGGAGGCAAGTCAACATAACGATTTTGACAGGTGATAGGATGAGGTCATGGGGACGGGGATACTTTGGAGGGGATTCCTATAAACAGATAGGTGTTCTTGATCGGGGGGGTAGGGTGTGTGTGTTACATCACTGAATGTTACTAGATTTACTGAAAGAGTGGCTGATGTGAGCTAGATAGGACACTTTATCAAATGTTGTATATTATTATTTTATTATTTATTATTAAAACAAAGCAAAACAAGCAGACTCACTTCTTATCAGATAATATCATCATTGTTCTATACAAAACGTTATCATAACTATATAGAATAGACCATTGTTAAACTGAAATGGTTATTTCTCAATATATCATCAAAACATCTGCCAGAACATTTACGCGCACCCGTCTCGTGATAAAACAGTGCACGTGTTGACTGTCTCCAAAACGAATAGGCTTATCTAACCTGGAAACGAGATTATACATTTCAAATATCCTGACATCTACAACTTTTGTAGGAGGAGCCTGTGAAGCTGTCATGGACGGAGGGTTCCGAGTGTTACTATTCGGAAGAGTACGAGATTCCATGTGGGGTATACAAGGGGAATCTCGTGGTGGACGGGCGGACCTACCCCGTCGAGGACATAACAGTTAAACACTACACATTCGAGGTGGATATCTACGTCAAGGATGGTACGTAACTGGATTGGTAAATAGCTGGACTGGTAAATAATTCGGCGAAATTAATATCAGTCAATACCAATATCGTTGTTAGCTAAGTATAACTACGGCTGTCAGTGTACATATCAATAATAACCTAAAATGTATAATTTACTACGATCAGGGATTTATACTTTATACATCAGAGACGCATACATACTTTATATGTCTCTGGATACATGTATGGCCACTGCTACATTGTACATCATTGTTAAGTTTTAGTGAACTTTCTGTAACTTTACATTTTTTGTATGACGATTTATTTTAGCGCTAATGGCGGAGAGTACTTGTAATACTTTGTTGGAAACTTTAATTGAAGTACATATCGTATCATACTGTCACCATTGTTTTAAGGTGTAAAACCAGTTGAAATGATACACACATCTATTCGTAAGTAGTTACACGTATCTACATTGTCGTATTTTTTAATTACCTGTATAGTGCCTACTGTGTTGGGAAGCGTGAATTAATGTATAATATAAACTTACACAATACGGGTATGATGTTTAACATAAACTTTACCATATAATGTATAATACAGACCCAAGTATAATACAAACCCATATAAAATACAAACCCACGTATAATACAAACCCATATATAATACAAACCCATATATAATACAAACTTACACAATACGGGTTTAATTTTAACACAAACTTAACCATATAATGTATAATACAAACCCATATATAATACAAACCCATATAAAATACAAACCCATATATAATACAAACCCATATATAATACAAACTTTCACAATACGGGTTTAATTTTAACACAAACTTAACCATATAATGTATAATACAAACCCATATATAATACAAACCCATATAAAATACAAACCCATATATAATACAAACCCATATATAATACAAACTTTCACAATACGGGTTTGATGTTTAACACAAACTTTACCATATAATGTATAATACAACCCCACGTATAATACAAACCCATATAAAATACAAACCCATATATAATACAAACCCATATATAATACAAACCCACATATAATACAAACCCATATATAATACAAACCCATATATAATACAAACCCATATATAATACAAACCCACGTATAATACAAACCCATATATAATACAAACCCATATATAATACAAACTTTCACAATACGGGTTTGATGTTTAACACAAACTTTACCATATAATGTATAATACAACACCACGTATAATACAAACCCATATAAAATACAAACCCATATATAATACAAACCCA